TCCTTCCTTCCTTCCTTCCTTCCTTCCTTCCTTCCTTCCTTCCTTCCTGTGTTCTATTTTCATCCCACATACTTCTTCCAGCCACTTAATGTAATTTTTGCCAATATTTTTGGGCCTCTTTGCAACTCCACCACAAACGATAATAAGTTCCTTTTCCTTTATTACATTTCCAGCATGTGGGGGAAAGTTTTGAATACGATATTGCCAGTCTTGATGGCGGTATATGCCATCTATAAAAATAATTTATACAAATTTTCCTCAAACGGTATAGCTGAGGTCCTTTTCTTATTTCTTTTCCATAATATTTGCCAATCGTCTAAATTAATGTTGCTGCCTCTTATGCTTGACAACCATGTGTTATGTAGGCATTCCGGAAATATGAAACCTTGAGCGTTGCCCTTTCTCTAGTATAGTGTTTCTCAGTGGCTCAAAGACATTCCTCAAAATAGAACTTGGAAATCTTCTAGCCCAACCCTCTTCTTAGCCAGGAGAACCACCTCAGACAAACAGCTGTCCGGTTTCTTCTTCAAAAACCTGCAGTGTTGGAGGAGCAGTCGCAATTTCTAGTGGCAGGCTGTTCCACTGGTTAATCGTCCTCACTTTTAGGAAGTTTCTCCTTCATTCCAGGTTGTTTCTCTCCTTGATTAGTTTCAATCCGTTATTTTTGGTCCTGCCTTCTGGTGCTTTGAAAAATAAGTTGACCTTCCCCCTCTCCTCTTTGGGGCAGCCCCTCAAATATTGGAAGACTGCCAATGGTGGGATTCCCATTTTTTTTTACTACCAGTTTTATGGGCATGGCTTGGTGGGCATGGCAGGGGAAGGATATACTGCAAAATCCCTACCCCGCTAATCTGCTTTCCAGCTCCGTTCTCCCGTGCAGGGCAACCAAAGGAGACCCAGCCGATCAGCTGTGGGGGTGGCCTGGTGGGCGTGGTGTGGGATTTGGTGCGTGTAACAGGGGAAGGATATACGGTAAAATCGTAGCAGGGGAAGGATATACGGTAAAATCGTAGCAGGGGAAGGATATACGGTAAAATC